AACAGCAAAAAGAAAGAAGGGATCTTAGACCAAGGTAGAAAGAATTTGGTAGACATGGAGGGAGGCCATTAGCGAAGTTGATATAGAAAAGCAAGACTAGGGACCATAGGGGTCTGAGAAAAAGTTAGAAAATCGAAGAGGAGAGAACGAAAAAGGGGGGGATAAGGAAAAGTAGAGCTCAAAAGGGATTGGAGGAGGCGGCGGCAGCGCAGGGACGCGATCTCGCGCGATCTGCCGCCCAATCTCGCGCGATCTGCCGATCTAGGCGCGGGAGCGGAGGGGTTGGGGGGGGGGGAATCTCCCGCAATCTCCCGCAATCTCCCCGCGAATCTCGCGCAATCTCCGCATCTCTAGGCGCCGGAGCGGCTGGCGGCGAGGGAGAGGAGGAGGCGGGAGCAGCTGCAGGTTAGCGGAGATCGGACGAGATCGGACGAGATTGGACGAGATTGGACGAGATCGGACGAGATTGGACGAGATTGGACGAGATTCTGCCGTGAACAGGCGGAGGAGCAGCAGTGGCCGTGTCCTCTCTTTGCGCCGAGGCGAGGAGGACGCGGGCAGAGGACTGGAGGTGTGAACGGCGTCTCTTCCCACCTGCAGCTGTGAACAGGCGAGAGGACGAGTCGGAGGCAGCGGCTGCAGCTGCAGCAGCGGCGGCGGGCGAAGACGAGCAGTTCGGCAGCCTCCCCCACCTCTCGCCCTTTGAGGTCGAGATTGCATCGAGATTGCATCGAGATTGTGCGAGATTGAGAGGCAGCCTCCCCCACCTCTCGCCCTCAGAGGTCGAGATTGCATCGAGATTGCATCGAGATTGTGCGAGATTGAGGGGCAGCCTCCCCCACCTCTCGCCCTTTGAGGTCGAGATTGCATCGAGATCGAGATTGGCCCGAGATCGCCCCTTGGATGATGCGAGGTCGAGTTTGCGCGAGATTGGACGAGATCTGACGAGATGCGACGAGATTGCGCCTCGTTGCCGTCACGGCGTCTCTTCACAGCAGTCTCGTCTCTTCACAGCTATCTCGCTGTGAACCGCAGGCTCGCGCCGGCGATCGCGTGGCGCATCAGGCGACGACAATCTCGGGCAATCTCGGGCAGTCTCGGGCAATCTCGGACAGTCTCGGGAAATCTCAGGTAATCTCGGGTAATCTCGGGTAATCTCGGGTAATCTCGGGTGATCTCGCCTGAGAGGCTCGGAGAAGCTGGGACGATCTCGGACGATCTCGGCTCTCCTCGGGCCACCTCGGCTCCTCGCATGCCCCTCTCGTGCCATCTCGGACAATCTCGGACAATCTCGTCCCCTCTCCTGGCAGGTGGCCGAGCTGGCGGCGTCGTGGCAGCCGGCCCTAGACGCTGAAACAGTATTCATCACTGTACTCCACTGCAGTCCACTCCACTGCACTGTCTTCCTCTCCGTTGTCAGTACGCTGGAACAGGTATTCGTCACTGTTACTCCACTGCACTGCTGCTCCGCTGTCTTCCTCTCCGCTGTCTCCACGCGGTGCTTTAGAGTGCGCTGCACGACACCGTCCTCCCGCCCTGAGGTTGGTGCATTCATCACTCTCGTATTCCGCTGTGCTCCGCGCTGTAGTCACTGGACTCCTCTCCGTTGTCTGAGTGCGCTGCACGACACCGTCCTCCCGCCCTGAGGTTGGTGCATTCCTCCCTCTCGTATTCCGCTGTGCTCCGCGCTGTTCTCACTGGACTCCTCTCCGTTGTCTGAGTGCGCTGCACGACACCGTCCTCCCGCCCTGAGGTTGGTGCATTCCTCACTCTCGTATTCCGCTGTGCTCCGCGCTGCAGTCACTGGACTCCTCTCCGTTGTCTGAGTGCGCTGCACGACACCGTCCTCCCGCCCTGAGGTTGGTGCATTCATCACTCGCGTATTCCGCTGTGCTCCGCGCTGCAGTCACTGGACTCCTCTCCGTTGTCTGAGTGCGCTGCACGACACCGTAGGCAGCCGGCGCTACCATTACTTAATGAATGCCGGGAGAGTGGAGAGCTAGCGGAGTGGTAATTGTTAGGCAGCCGGTGCTACCATTGCTTAATGAATGCCGGGAGAATGGAGAGCTAGCGGAGTGGTAATTGTTAGGCAGCCGACGCTCGCATGGCGCACCGCGACGCTGCTACCCTCTCCGTCCGGGCTCGCCGCTGCCGAGATCTACCGAGATCCGATCTCGGCTCATCTCGGCTCATCTCGCCGCGATCTCGCGGTGTTAGGCTGTTTCTTGCGGGGGGCGAGGGGGCGGAGCCGACCGCCGTGGCGGAGGCAGCGAGATTGTGCCGAGATTGTGCCGAGATTGTGCCGAGATGAGCGCCTGAGAGTGTACCGCGAGATGCTGAGAGATTTGGAGGGCGGTGTTGAGATCGCGCGAGGTCACCCGAGCTCACCCGAGACCTCCCGAGATTGCGCGAGATTGCGCGAGATTGCGCCAGGATAATTGCGTGAGATGACTCGAGATTGCGCGAGATGACTCGAGATGGCGCGAGGTCACGCGAGATTGCGCGAGATTGCGCGAGATTGCCGCAGGCGGTCAACCTCCGTCTCGTCGAGAGGCTGGCGACGCAAGACGCAGCCGCAGCGACCGCAGCCACCGCCGCCGCCACCGCCGCCAGC